GATCCTTCATATCATTAACCATAACTCTTGAATTCATAATTCACATTCAAGAGAGAGTTAAAAGTTGAGTTCAAGAAAGTCATTGAGTTCAATTGTGAATCCTTTGAGATCAACCATCGATTTTAACTAAGTCTTGAGGTAGTAAGTAAGAGAAAGAGAAGTGTCGTATATATGAGTTCCATGTAGTTTGTAGACCTTCTAGTTGAGTCATTCATGCCCATAAATTTCGCATGGACTCCATAAATTGAGTATCATTGAGAGGGGTAATACCTTCAACTTCTAAGTCTTGAGTATTGAGTTCTTAATCCCCTTTGAGATTATATTTCTAATCATGGGACTATTACATGTTACCCATGAAGTCTTTGAGCTGAATTGTTTATGCCTATAATTCCGCATGAAACCTATAAGTCGAGCAGCCTTGAGATGAGAAGTATCTTTGAGTCCTTGAGTTGAGTAGTTCATGCTCATAATCCCGCATGAACCCTCTGAGTTGAGCATTCTTGAAGTGAGTAGTATCATTGAAGTTCTTGAGTTTCAAGTATTGAGTTCTCTCTATGGTTATTGAAAACTTTGCATTGAGTCGTTCATGTCCATAATTCAGCATGAATCATATTTTAAGAAGTCTTTTACAAATGTTTAAACTATTGTTTTAAGACTTAAGCTTTAAAGTTGAGTAAGAGTAAGAGTAAAGTTCATTTTCTTTAAAATGATTTATGGGAACTAAGTATTCCCAAGAGTAAATGTTTTCACATTTAAGATGAGAGGAAACTGAGATTTCCGAAAGAGTTTTGAACAAGAAGGGGAACATCGATTCCAAGAGAGCTTTTAAGCTAAGTTTTGAGTAATTATCTCAAACCAAAGAAAGAAGTTATTTTAAAACATATGAGCTAAGTATATTTATTGGATTAGTATTTAGCATCGATATGGGGATGCGAGTTCATATTAACTCAAGTCTCCATAAACCATGTAGCCATCATGGGTATTAATGGGTCATACTTTTTAGAAGATCACATAAGTTAAGCTGGTGGATCCACTAAGTTAAGTAGTTCTATATGACGACAAAGTATATAACAGTCTGGCACGTGATGGTAAGAACGTTGTGTCACCACTTAGGCTCATTGTGGTGGTTGTCGATTAGAGAATCTCCCACAGAAACTATATTACTTTATTATATAAGTAAAGTTGAGTTTGTTATTGCATTTTCTTTAACGAACTAAGTTGTTTTTACTGTTTTGTAAAGCTTTCCATATATTGCATATGTATTATTGCTTTATTGAGTTGAGTACCCAGAGTCGAATATCATATCTTTGAGTTGAGTATCTAATCTCTGAGTTGAGTATCTTATCTTTGAGTACTTCTGAGTTGAGTAAGTTGAGTAATTTTGAGTATCCTTGAGTATTCCTTGAGTTGAGTAAGTTTAAGAAGAGGTAAGTATGTTTTCTTTTTTTATCAAGTTTCAAGCTTATGTTTATGCTTTAGAATTCCTCTTACATGCTCGTACATTCCACGTACTGAGCCATCTGGCCTGAATCTTCTCATGATGCAGACACAAGTATTCAGGGTCATCAACAGGAGCTTCGTTGATACATCCGGAAGTTCGAGTTAGCTATGGTGAGCCTCCTTATTTCTGGAGGATTTCATTTACTTTTAGTTTAGTCAGGATGTCGTGGTTCTTGTCCCGACTTCCATCTTTAACAGTTAGATGCTTCATAGATAGTCGGTATAGTTGAGAAGTCTGTATCATTTATTTTGTTACATGTTTAAAAACTTAAGTTGCCTATTTTATGGCGAGTTGAATATTATTTTTTATATTCAGAGTTTTTTCATTTGAGTTAAAGTTTTGTATTTCAATTTCATGAATTTTTATTCAGTTTTTAAGCTTTTGTATGCTTGACTTAGCCTTCCGCCTATAGTCAGCCAGGATGAGGGTTCGCTTAGGGACCAACAATGGTTCTAGAGTGTCAGCCACGTCCAGGGTGTAGGCTCGGGTCGTGACAAAGGCAAACTTATAAAACAATGTCATACAAAAGATGAGAGCCTTCAAGCTAAAAACTTTCTAAAAACATGATGAAAATCAATCTCAATAATCCCCCCGTCCGATATTAGTTGTTGATTTTCCTTTTTACAAGAATACTGGAAATTATAAATAAGAAGATAATTTTATATATTCACCCTTTAAAAACTTCTTCATTTTTTTACAAACAAATATGAACACTTTCAAAATGAATTAATTTCACGGATAATATAACGAAATTTTAATTAATGATTTATTGATTTGTGAAGTGAACAACTAATATGTGACAACTATTTTTAGTAAGATGATCAACTAATATGAGACAAAGGGAGTAGAAAACAACATAGATAAAAATAAAAACTAATACATAGATTATCTAATAAAGATGGTAAGTACAAAAACAACTGAAATAATTGTGTATAAAGGTTTTCACAATTATTTGTCCCTGAAACCTAAATTAGTACCTTCTTACCTTTAGTTATGAACTAGAAGTTTGTATTTTTAAAATACTGTAATTCTAACTGTTACCACTAGAATAATATAATGTACCATATCATGGTTCTTAATTTCAACCATATCTTGGCCACTTTTTCTTATTCTCATAGGCCTTAGAATATTCAACATAAGGCTTATCATAGAAGGTAAACCTCTTGTTCAGTCAAGGACTCGAACAGTACACCAATTGGTGGAAGCCTCTTTGTGATATTGAACGGCCACCCATTATATCTTGGTGCTACGACTACTTCATTTGCATGACTACCATGGGGTGCAACAGGTTTGTCAAAGCTCAAAATATTACTGGCCTGATCAAGCAATTTTGAAGAAGAGGAGGGTTTAAATCTCTAAACCAAAAGCAAGGTAGCAACAATAAATAAGATTGGGAAATTCTCTTGATGCTACTATAAGAGACAATAGCACCGAGCTTCTCAATCTACCACATCCCTATGTGGGCAAACAATAACAGAAAATTACACATAATGCCTAAGAGAAGTAGAAAATAATATTTTTCAAACATGAAAAATCATTGCCAGGTTTTACCTTAGGGAGGTAAGATTAACTTTGGGATCTACAAGACTACAACTACAGTGAATAGAATAAATAAATATTCAGAACCTAAAATTATGTAGGAACTAAGAAAACCATACAATAACTACATCTCCATGATGCAGTTTCTTCATAGCAACAAACGGATCCTCTTTACATGATACATCATGTATTGCAAGAACAAAGATTCTCTGGATTCAGAGAAAAGGGTGGTCATTCTTTAAAAGATCAACCAACTCATGGAACGTAATATATTATAACAGTTAGCTTGCTAAGTACATAGTTAATTAGTAGTAGCATGTTAGATTGTCAATTATCACATCTTAGTCAGTTCTAATTAGTCAGCTTACAACTCCTTCTCTAGTAACAACAGTTATCTTCCCTTCACTACCAATTTTGTACGCTTTCATTACATGAAATGACATTTGAAGCTTTTTTTTATTGAATATCAAATATTGAGAAGCCATTCATCTTGATATTGATCTTATTTATGTGATTAGGGTGGAAAAATGGAAGAAAATGGGAAACGGGATAGCACTGCCAATATGCTAAATGTGGACGAGAATTGTATGGACATTGAAGTCATCCATAAACAGGAAGTGATGGTGGGTGATCAGCTCGCTTATGCAAATGAAGAGCTTATAACTCATTGTCTAGATAAGAAAATTATAGACCAGCACTTTCTCAATCAGAATGTTCATGATGTCGACTTCTTCTTGTACCATCCTCAGCAACTTTCTGGTACAATTATCTCTCTCTCTCTCTCTCTGTTTGTTGTGGGGTGGGAGTGAGGTTGTTTTCTGGTCAATTTTTTT